AACTGAAAAAAAAATGCCTAAAACAACTCCAAACTTGAAGGAATGAAACTCTGTACTTAACTTAGTTCATTTTCAGTGCTAATGACTTTATTGGTAGTTATTAACATTTATCACACCATTACCTAACCTTGTGATTATTAGCTGAAATATCGGTGGTGTCTTTACTTTATATGTCAATGTGTGCACAGCAACTTCACAAAATGCAATGTATGTTAATGATGAACAATATGCTATTGTCAGATGGAAAATGCAGAGTAGTGTATCTCAGGTAGCAATGCTTGGCTATTCACATGTAACTGGGTATCTGCCCCTTGCCTGAAGTTGCATCATTTGTTCAAGAATAACACACACCTTTAGCCTCACTTGTAGAAAATTTGGCCCAATATTTTGAATTTGTTTTCATTGTTTTAGTCTCTCCTACAGGAAGAAACATACTTTCAACATTAGCTCTGCCGAGTCCCCTCAAGATTTTATGTTTGTCAATAACATATTTCAGTAACTGGTATATCCTGATCCAATAGAAAATTAATTGAGCATAATCAATCAATCAGCTAAAGCTCAGGAAGTAACATGATGAAATTGGATCATTACAGTTATGAAGAAAGGTCATATGGTGAAATATTTAAGTATATGGAGCAGAACTTGCCAAATGCAAGATGTCCTGGACACCAACTGACAATTCAGATGTTATAAATAAAATGCTGGACTTAAGCAAAAATGACAAGTTTAGGTTGCCAAGATCAGGTTTCAAATGAGGAAATTAAACGTTAATAGGTTTACTTTTGCATGACCGAAAGTCAAAAAGTTAGGCAGAGTTACCAAGTCTGGACGGTCATATCGATATCAAATGAATTTAATGAAATTACAGAAATTCTGAGCTGCTGGAGATCAAAGTTCATTAATTCAAGGAATTTTATTTGAGCAAAATGTACACAAACCGATAGATTTCAAAATTGGCACAGAAATTATTACAGAGAAATTAGGAGAGTGAAAAGTCAGAAAAAGATGAATGTTTGGTTCGGTGAGAATAATGAACAATCATGAACATAGACCTGAATGAACAAGGTGGGGTTGAGGGGGAAGACAACAAATGAAAACTGCTAGAGTCAGATTCAAGAAAGCACATGACACAGTGCACAGAATTCGAAGAGTCTTGATGTTTTCTTCCTGTAAGAGAAGCCTTGGCTCAGTATTATCACCCTTGTCTCATAATCACACACTATAAGCTCAAATCTTACCCTTGTGTGTTATATTCCTTGCATTAAAATAAATACAATTTAGACTGCCATGTTTATTAACTTGGCCCTGCCTGTTGTTCTTATAAACTTACTTGACCTAACCTCTAGCTTCTCCTAATCACTCCACATGCTGACAACCTGCTCTGGTTCTCCAACATCAACCCCCACAACCCACCACTATCCCTGAACCTGCCCGTCCCCCACACACACAAAATATTCAAGATTACATTAAACTAATCAATGAGCCCCTGAGCTACAGAATTCTACAAATTCACAACCCTCCGAATGAAGAAATTTTTCATCTCACTTCTAAATATTTAGCCCTCGATCTAGAAACTAAGATCCCAGTTTTAGTCTTTCTATTTCATAATTATCTTGTTGCTTTTTGTGGGACCTTGCTGTGCACGCATTGGCAGCCATGTTTTGTTACGACAACAACAGATGAAAAGTACTTCAGTGCCTTAATTTTTGAGATGCCCTGGAATCATGAATAGCATTATTTAATGCAAAGAAAACCCCACAGGGATTAGTTGCACAATTGTCCTCACAGATGTTGATAGAACCACTTCCTAAAGTGAACAGGGTAGAGATCCTAACAGACGAATGAGTGACTAAACCATAACAAGTGATGATATAACTGGAAAAAGAAATCTTAAATATTACAGGAAATACATTGACTTACGTGTTCAATCCAATTTTGAAATCTTGTGGAGCTTAATTGTTTCCATCTCACTTGCGTTTCAAACTTGCTCACCCACAAACCACCCAGACAGATGTTTTATAGATTACTGCACTGGACTTTGGCAGGAAACCGTATCAAAGTTTTGATAAGTGTGGTTATGTAGAGTTCACAGTTATGAAGAGAGATCGGATGGTTTGGGGTTGTTTTCCTTTGAGCAGAGGAAACAAAGGGGCACATGACAGAGAGATATAAAATTATGAGCGGCATAGATAGGATAAACAAATAGAAACATTTTCCCTTGGTGAAGGGATCACTGCCTAGGGGCACAGATTTAAGATTAGGGGCAGGAGGTTTAGAAGGGATGAGAGGATTATTTTTCCACCACCCAAAGGGTGTCTGTAAGGATAGGAGAGGCAGAAACCCTTATAATATTTAAGTAGTATTTAGAATGTACTTGCAGAGTCAAGGTGTGCAGGGCTATAGACCAAGTGCCAGAAAATGTGATTAGAATAACTGCGTGCTTGTTTTTGAATGGCATAGACTTGATGAGTCTTTTACTGTGCTGCAGACCTCTATGACTGCAATTCTCATCAAAACACTAACTAGGCCAACCTTTGACATCAGACATGGGTTCACCTGCACATCCGTCAACTTGGTCCACTGCATCCGCTGCACTGGATGTGACCTCCTCTACATTGGTGAGGCCAAGTGGAGACTGTTTTACAGAGCATCTGCGCTCTGTACGCGACAAACACCACCACCTTCCAGTTGCGAAACATTTTAACTCCCCCTCCCACTCCCTGGGTGACATGTCCATCCTAGGCCTCCTCCAGTGTCACAATGACGCCACCTGGAAACTGGAGGAGCAGCACCTCATATTCCGCCTGGGAGCCTACAGCCCAATGGCCTGAATGTGGATTTTACCAGTTTCAAAATATCCCCACCCCTAGCCTCATCCCACGACCTGTCCATCTTCTCTCCCACCTCACTGACCAATCCTGACCACTGCCTACATGCACTCACCTATCACCATCCCATCTACCTTCCCTAGTTGCACCCCTCCTCTCTCTATGTCTGAGCTCCCTTCCCTCTCCGCATTTCTGAAGAAGGGTCCCAACCAAAACATCAGCTTTCTTGTTCCTCTGATGCTGCCTGGCCTGCTGTGTTCCTCCAGCTCCATACTTTGTTATCACTAACTTGGCTTTACCTGCTTTAGACAATCAGCTGCTTTACAATTCCATCAAAGACAGTGATTACTTGTGCCAATTGGTGAATCTCACCAAACATTTTAAACAAAAACCCCAGCCTTGAAATTGCACGAAGGGATAATGGCATTATTCCTCTACTTTGATAGATGCCTTAAACCATTTAAACTCATTATGCTGAAACTTCTGAAAGGGAAATTAAAATTTCAAATGAAAGATTTCTGACTGGCTGGATATGTAATGTAAGGCAGGGGACAGCTGTACTGAGAGAAATCTGAATCAGGATCACTTGATGACTGGATAATATGCTTTGAAGGATGACTATGTAATTTCTGGCTGTATTCAAATCTGAAGAGCAGTAAGGAAAGGAAATTAAAATGTTACAAGTCATTATTCATTTTCTACCAAAGGCATTAGGACAGCACCATTTTATTTGACTGTTGACTTAAAACGTTTCACATCAAAAGACAATCCATGGGGATAACCAGAAAGACCACAGCTAATACACATCAATTCCGGTTAACAGACAAGTTCGGTTCATTACTTCTAGTTTGTATAATATTATAATCCTAGAAGATTGTGAATTATACACAAGGACAGAGTAATGGATTCATGAGATATGAGCTGTTCTGGATTCAGTGTGTAAACACTGAGTACATGGACACACTGATTGGGATTTTGTTATTCAAGTAGTGGATTACTGGATCATATCAGCATCAGCCAATATAGTAGTTCAACTTTGAGAACTTGGACTTGCCTGATTTAATGAACAATCTATCAGATCCCTGAACTCTTCCAGTTTGACAAAGAACACAGGTATGAATAAGCTGTTTTCAGGTCACCCAGATTTAACAGTGAGCAGCCCACTCCAAGAGGGAATGTTAGAGTGATCTGTAACTTTGTGAAACTTCAATTCAGACTCACTGAAGACTGGTTTTCCTGTACTTGCAGTACTTGAAACTTCGCATTTAGGGGTCAATTTTCAATCCACACTTCTGGATTCAGATTTTAAGTCTAGACAAATACTCCATGAGAAATGACTGTGGGAAAGGGTCAGCACTGGCAAAAATAGCAGCCAAAAAGCCTCCAAAGATCCTGGTCTAAGAAGAAAATAATTCATCTCCTTTGATCTTCTGGCCTTTGCTGACTGCCCTGTTTGAATCCTTCTTCTTGAAGTGGGGCTGAGCACAAGGGTTTTGTCTTTGAAATGGGTGCTCTTCCAACATTTTAAGGGATTGGAATAGGAAAACGCAGAGGAAATGATGGTTCTATCAACCCTATCCTGAGTAATTACCTTGGCTTGCCCCTTTATTGAATGTACCATAGGATCAAGTGGAACTGTGGGGAGGCAGATCTATTTTCCTCCCAACACCCCCCAACCCCCATCACTTTTGCAAACTGGAGAAGAGCATTCCAGGAGCATTTGAAAATAGCTCATTAACTAAAATCTCTGACATTTAAAATCATTATAAAAGCAGCCAGTTAGCTAGAACGTGGATCAGTTTACCACCAACAGCATGAGGTTCTGTTCAAAGCAGACATGAGACCTGTCTCTATACCCAAACTGGAGTAAAAAACAAAATCTCAGTACTTTGTCATCAGGCGGTGAGTAATCAAAGACCTGCCTTTGCGCAAGAACTGGAGAATCACCTTACCGTACAGAAAGCTATTCAGCCCATTACAATTGTACTAGCTCTTGAAAAGAATCCCTGCTCTTTCCCAATAACCGTGCAATTCTTTCCCCGAGCTACTTCTCTACCCTTGGATAAATCAGAGTTCAAAGGTAAAATGAAAAATTACACATGTAAATTAACCCAATTTTCTTAAGAAAAGAAAGAAACTGAAGAAAGAGCTGTACAATTTAAAAAAAGACAATTTTCCACAATATATTCAATGTTTAATTAAATTTTAAAGTCACATTTTTTGACTGATCATACCACATGACATTCTGCAATTGTGCGATATTGTTTCTTCTTGCTTTTTACTATACACAAACAGTTCTAATTTAAATTCTCAACCTAAATTCCATGCATCCTTCATTCCATTACTACTCATTGTTGTAAGTTGCAGGTAAGCAACAATGAACTACTGAAACCAAATATACAGCAGAGGCTTACAGTACATTTAAGGCTTTGATTTGTTTGTCTGGTTATGGTATTCCTCATGTCTTGCATTATTTATGTACATTTCAATGTAATTCCAGTGTCAAAATCATAACCTCAAATCGCTGGTTATTGCAACTAAAATTGGTAAATTACATCTGTTCCTGTAGAAAATACAGATGTGTAAATTTATGAAATTTAAATGGTAACACATTTTCTAAGAAATTGAATTTTAAGTAATCAAGAATAAAAATAGTTACATCCACAAACAAAACACATTTCACAGATTAAAGCATACAAATTAGGCAGTTATCACATCTATTCTCAACACTTTTTTGAAACAAAAAATGTTTCCATAACCTTGAAAGACACCATATACAAACACTGCAATTTAAGATATAACAGTTACTTTAAGAATTGCAATTGAAAAGTATTATATTACCTACCCTGAAAAACAATATACATTGAAACTTTAAAACAGTCAAAATAGTTCATAAATTTACACATTGGCAAAAAATTGTTTACGGCTACATGCCATATTCTGCACCATCGGGGATATACTTGAGGTATTGTTTCACATTTTTAACATGGAAAAAACCTCCACGCATATTGGAATATTAAGAACATTTACAAAAGAACTGCATTCTTTAGCAAATAAGTGGAACATTTCTTTCCAAACTCACTGAGTTTTACAAATACTGAACAGTACTTTGAGGCAATGTTAGAAATATTAAGAATGTGACAAACATTTCAATCACATTCTTCATGTTGGGTTGGTCCTTCAATGAAGGGCCGTTTCATCTACAAAGTCACAACCGTATGACATGTCATGCTGTTATACTGTATCAAAAAGAATCCAGTTTATGAGTTAGTTGCAAACAAAACTCAAAAAAGGATAATTGTGGCAAATATTAAAACAAAATTCTATACCTCTGATGAGTCAAGGAATGGAACAAACAAGGTAGAATGACAGGATTAATAACCTTCAAAAACTGTTTGAAAGTTACAGTAGTTGAACATTATTTCATGTGCAAGGTGTATAAATCACATGAATTTTCCTGGTGTTAAAAAAAGATTTTGTTCAGTGTTTCAAATAATTCAGCCTGAAAGTTGGTAGCTTCTGTATTGTTGAAAATTCGTTATCCAGTTAAACCATGTGCAAATTACTTCACAGATCAGTTCTTCCATTCACATTTGTCAAGAAAACATCCTTACAATAGTTTTCAGGAGATGGATATCTCGTGATCTATGAATTGTTTCAGTCTTTCCACATACTGCGCATAAAGCTCAATGTCATTGTGTCCTGCTCCCTCGACCCAGAGAGGTTCCACTGCTCTTGGACATTGCTCATACATTGCAAGGCCATGGGAAAAATCAATCACCTCATCTGCGGTGCCATGAATTACCAGCACAGGAGAAGATACCTTGGTTATCTTGTCAATGCTGAAAGAGATTTTAAAAAAAAAAGAGAAAATTAAAGGAATAACGTACTATTAAAATAGCATTATGTTAGTCAAGTCTTAATGATAAATATTTCCTCTAGGCTGTGTTAGTGCATGATCACACAGTAATGCACAGCATACCATGCAGGGGACAAACAGGCTGTATATAAAGTGATGGTCCCTTTAAAATGCACACATGGTGTGACAGTTTCAAAGAAACCATATTAAACAATAACTGACTGGGTGCAGCAAAGGAAAATTAGCGGGAACAATAGTTAAGGTCAGGACAAACTTAAAAAAAAAATTAAACATAATTTCAATTTTATAAAAATTACTTCCTTAAGCCTCTTGACTTAGGAGGTACCACTCAAATGTTGCTCAGTCACGTCACTCTTGCAAAAATCTGGGTTGTCAATTCACGCCTCAACCTAAATACTCGAGTAAATAATCCAGGTTGATATTTTCAATGCAGTACCAAAGTACTAGCTTTCAGATCAAGCACAGAACTCAAGACACTCTCAAGCCAATACTTATTGCTTAACCAATACCATAGATTACCTTGGTTATCTGTTTCAGTGCTAATTTTGGAATCTTATTGGGTGAAAATGACCTGTCTCAATTCTCTAAATTACAACAATGACTAAACTTCAAAACTGATTCATTTGTAGTGGTGAGTTGGAATGTCCTGCTGAAAGGTGCTACTTAAATGTAAGTTCATTAGCTTTCTGAATCCAAAATATTAAGCAAATAGTTGGACAAAGCAAAGTATGCTGAATTTTGCAGAAAGCCTCGTCAGCGTTAAATTACCTAATTTTTCAATGCTATTAATACAAATTTCTATTTTATACCCCAGGGTGTGTAATATCACTGATGGAAAATTTAAAACACTCTTGAATTCATTAAACTATTGATGTCCAATAAAGTACCCAATAGTTACATATTGAGAATCCAACTTTTTTTCTCCGCTTGCATGCCATGTGGGTATTGCTTGGCAGACCAGCATTTATTGGCTAATTACATACTTGATTAGTTTTAAAACAAGAGAAATAGAAACATAGCTCATTCAGCCCTCATGGCTGACCTATACTTCCAGATTGTTTACTTGACTTTGACTTGATGTCCTTAACCAACAAAAACCTATAAACTCAGTCTTGAAAGCCACACAGTTGCCCACTCATTTAATCTATGTCTCTAAGTGACTTTGTGCTCCCAACTTCACCACTTGCTGTGCATCACAAACTTGTGTCATATACAAGCTTAATTTACTCCTTCATCCAAGTCATTACTAAACATGTAACCAGACTGAAAGACAAAGCCCCAGTACAGATCTTTGGAGAGCACCAGTTATCATACGCCACCAAAGCACATACCCTTTACTGCTGCTGGTTTCCAAGACATGAAATGACATCATTGTTGGTCTACTTGGCCTGTTATGACATTTCCGTAAACACCTTCATATTTTTCTGTTTGTTGCTAAAACAGGAAGATACTTGTTTATTGAGTTATTTACATCTTTGGATAACGCATGGTAGCAGATCCATTAACTAAGACAAGTACATTTACCGGCATTGTGTGAGTATTTTAAGGTGCTTTCTGCTAAAGTTATTATGCTGTTGCAATAGTCACTCTTAGTAAATTAACACTATCAACTGGTTTACCCTGCATTAAACTGATATTTCCAAAATATAAACCGAAGAACTGCGGATGCTGGCGATCCGAAACAGAAACTTCTTTGGATAGGTGAACTCTCCGCATCAGATAGATGTTTTCACTGCCTCTAGCACTCTCCTGCTGCCTGGACCCCTCCTTCTGGCCATTTACTTGCACTTGACTTGTTCATTGACACGTTGACTGTTCCCATCGGTTGCCTTAACCTCCCTGCACCCCTCACACATTTAAACTTATCACCCTCTGAGCTGTCTGCACTCCATGCTCTCAGATTCAATCCTGAATCTGTAATCAAGCCTTCCAACAAGGATGTTGCTTCTGTCTGGCATACTGACTTCTACATGGTGGAGGCTGAGCACCAGCTCTCAGACACCTCCTCCTATCTCACCCTGGTCCATGACCTTACCATTGAGCATCAGGCTATTGTGTTCTTGACTGTCACCAACCTTATTTCATCTGGGATCTCCCTGTTAATGGCCTCCCAACTCGCGTACAACCCACTTCTACCTTCTCCCTAAAATCTACAAACAGGACTGCCTGGACAGACCTATTGTTTCTTCTGTTGGGCAGGAACAGGCACTTATTTCTTTCTACCTCAACTGAAATTGTTTCTCCCCCTATCCAATCCCTTCTCGCTTATATCCGCGATTCTTCTGGCGTTTTACATTGGTTTCAAAATTTCCAGTTCGCAGGTAGTAGCCACGTCCTCTTCACCATGGATGTGCAATCCAAAGGACTGTAAGCCACAATTTGTCACCTCCAATGAGATGCCATGACTAGACAGATCTTCCCTTCCCCTTCCCCTCCCCTCCCCTCCCGTGTCAGCATTTCGCAGGGGCCATTCCCTTCAGGACACCTTGGTTCACTCTTCCTCCATCTTCTCTTGCCCCCACGCATCTTCCAGTGCAATCACAGAAGGTGTAACAGCTGGCCATTTACCTGCTGCCTCCTAATAATCTAAGGCCCTACATGTACCTTCCAGGTGAAGCAGCAACTTACCTATACTTCATTCAATCTAGTCTACTGTATTCACTGTTCAGTGTGGTCTCCTTTTCACTGGGGGGCAGAACGCAGGTTTGCGGAACACCTACATGCTGTCTGCAAAAATGACCCTGAGCTTCCAGTTGCCTGCCACTTCAACACACCATCCTGTTCCCACGCCAGCATTTCTGTTGCAGGCCTGCTGCAGTATTCCAGCAAGCCTCAGTGCAAGCTTGAAGAACAACATCTGATTTTCTGCTTGGGGATCCTTCAGTCTCTAGGACTCAACACAAAGTTCAATAACTTTAGAGCCCAAGCCCATCCTTCCAAGTTTATTTTACCCATCCCATACCCAGTCATGTTATGACATGGGTTGTTTTTTAGCATAGTCACCCATTCTCACATACTCCCAGACCCATTTTCACATTATATGTAGAGCTCACCCATTTTATCCTACTCTTAAATCTTACTATCATTTATTTGGCTTTTCCTGTGTCTTGGCCTGCTATCCATAATCTCATTTATCTACCCCTTTCATATATCTCTCTCACCTCCATCTTCGACTAACTCTTCTCCCCCTCACCACAAACTTTAGCTTCAACATAAATACCACTTTTTCCTACCTGCTAACGGTTCTGATGAAGAGTCACTGGACTTGAAACATCAACTCTGCTTTCTTCTCACAGATGCTACCAGACCTGCTGAGTTTCTCCAGCAATTTGTTTTTGTGACACTTCCATAATTGTGCTTTTCTTCCAGTTCAAATCATGAAGTTTGAATTCCATTGCAATTATGTACTGAACTCTCCAAGTTCAGTTTGTTTTTGGCATCAATCTTTTGTTTTAATTAAGCAATTTGCAATTAACTTAATATCGAACAGAGATTTTGGTACTCCTGCCAGAGTTAGTTAATCTCTATTCTTCCGCTACATAACTCACCAGCTGCGGATTTCTGCAGTCCTCAATACCTATTCTCTCAACTTTTTATGTCATTACTAGAGTGAAATGGGTTATTTTGTATTGAATTTTATGCAGTACAGATTACACACAAACGTGGAAATGCAGAGGTCTTTGCCCATATCAAATGATGATCAGTTTAATGAAAGGAGGCTCATATCTGATAATAGTAATGCAAGAAAACACTGTGTAAGATGAAGCTATGTTCCTTTAAGGTCAGAAAATTAGCCTTAAGTCATTGATTATTGAAGAAATGGCACAAATTAGAAATGCTTATAACTTTCAGGCTCTAGGTTAAATGCATTAAGTGACTGTCAATTTTTTAATAACATCGGTGATGCTGGACAAACAAGTACATACTAGATGCAGAACACTACCAAATTTCCTGCATCATAATCACTATTTCACTTTTCTTGGGTTGTCATAATGACATTACCCTCACAACCTTGGCACAGGTTCAGCATCCAGTGGCAACAATGTAAATTTTTGACCATAGAATGCTTCCTGATTAGTGAAGCAGTTGATTTGTTACAATAATGACCTGAAGCAAAAGGTCTTACCACCACTACCTGATCATGCTTGCAAAAACTAAAATAACTGAAGTGACTGTAAACCCATTATATAGAAATAGAAAGAATACACAACCATAGAATCCCTACAATGCAGAGAGGCCATTCAGTCTGTCGTGTCAGCACTGATCCTTTGAAAAGCATCCCACCTAGACCCTGGCCCCTACCCTATGCCCGTAATCCCACATTTACCACCTAGCCTGAACATCCCTGGACACTACTGGGTAATTTAACATGGCCAATCTACCTAGCCTGCACATCTTTGGACGGTGGGAGGAAACCCACACAAACCCACACTGGGAAAACGTGCAAACTCCACACCGATGGTCACCCAAGGCTGGAATCAAACCCGGGTCCTTGGGTGATGTGAAGCAGCAGAGTTAACCACTGACCACCATGCCTCCTAGTATAGCACATAGAACTTAGTGGACTGCATAGTAGTAGAAAAGGAAATAGTACCATTTTATTTATTAGCAGACTTGTAGCGGATTACAGGAATACAAAAGGTATGTTTATAACACATGTTTATCACAGAAGTGTAATGGTCAAAACAAGGCCATTCACCCCATCACCTCTGCACCAGTGCACCAACCGAACCAAATGTGGGGAATAAGATTTGTGAGCTACAAACTCAATTATCCCTGTGAAAGTATGACAGAGTGGCAATAATAAAAATGTGGCTTCATAATGGTGAGGGCTGAGAGTTTATTACTCACACATACAAAGAGTTCACAGAAGATAGGGAAAGAAAAAGGCAAGTTTAACAGCAGTAAGGAAGACATGGTAATGTTGGAAAGAGAGGATATCCTTGAACAGGCAAGAACAAA